AATACTGAATCGACTGCAAGGTGATCTGAGTGTCTCCCGCCATAACGCTTTTTATGTGCAAAACGTGCTTATGTTTGTATGTTTATTCCAAAAACATTTATTACAAAACAAAATGGTGCAGTAATTATTAATTGTCCATTTCGTCATTAAATACTACACCAAATACAAAATAAATAGCACCATTAAATTTCTTGTAAAAAACTGGTTATTATGAAGTTATTTTAAGATGTGTAAGTTCAACCGTTTGGTTTCCTATAGCAAACAAATAAACAAACTTCCCCTTTTATCTTCTTTTTTTCTGATATAGTACAGAAAAAGTACAGCAGATCAAATGTTAAAGATAATATTTTACAGAACAAGAACATTATTGTATTATGGAAGAAGTCCAGTAGAGCAAATATTAAAGATAAATTATTATAGAATAAGCCCAGTAAATCACATATTAAAGATAATATATTACGGAACAAGGAAAGTAAATATTAAAGACAAAATTTAACAGAAGAAGTCCAGTAGATTAAATATTGGAAGTGAAATGCTACAGAAGAAGTCCAATATCTCACTTTTAATATTTGACTTACTGGACCTATTCTGTAATATTTTATCATTATATTTGCTCTAATTGACTTGTATAATATTTCATCCTTCATATTTGATCTACCGTACTTATTCTGTAATATGTTATCCTTATATTTGCTCTAATTGACTTGTATAATATTTCATCCTTCATATTTGATCTACCGTACTTATTCTGTAATATGTTATCCTTATATTTGCTCTAATTGACTTGTATAATATTTCATCCTTCATATTTGATCTACAGTACTTATTGTGTAATATTTCGTCTCCAATACTTGATTTACTAAACTTGTTCTGTAATATTTCATATTTAATATTTGATCTACTAGACATATTCTGTTGTATCTTATCTGATTTGTCTGATCAACATGGTTTAGGAGAAACTTGTTCCGTTGTATCGTTTATTCGATTAAAAATAATAATACAAACATTCCTTCATATAGAATTTGTGTTCCAGTTTCATTTATTAGATTTTATAACTTAGAATGTATAAACCCATTCTTTCCTGGTATTTTGAATTGTTATAACGGTCTCAGCTACTTATACGGACGGATAATGAAGCTTTTTCATTGATATTTCGAACTTCTCGCCAGCTGGTCTATTTACGTATTACGAAATGAAAAGATTTCCAAAAAATGTTGCAGCCAATAAGCAAAATATTTTCATAATTATATTATCAGTCTTTTTCGTACAAAAAATTGTTAGTTTTGTTGCTAAATACAAAGCTACACAATTGGCTGGCTGTGCTGTACCCACAACGGCTATCGAAACTTGTTGCTTACTTATTGCTGAGCTACTGGAAGGGAAGGGGGGGCGTCAAAAACAATTTTAAACAAATTAATATCTGATTAAGTTTTCATTCATTCTTCTATGTCACGTAGACTGGACGTTTTGCAGATGACCCCCATTTTTTTAACAGAGAGAATAGAATTGGTGCCTGCCATTAAACTATAGTCGCTTTTAAGTCCTTTTATTTCCTGGATGTTGGACCTTCTGCATACAATAGCTGAGTAGAATGATGCAAGTGTTCGTCCACATTTGTTATGATATCGTGATGTTCTAGCCTAGCCTGTTTCAACATAAACAGAACACACGCAACTTAACTGTTACTGGAGAACGTCCATAAGGTGGCGCCTTTGTTTTCAATTGGAATAGAACATTTTATCACAGGATTCACAAGGCTGTCTGGTAGAGTTTATGCATGCTTTCCTTACCTTTATGCGAAAACTTCTTGCTACAACTAAAATATAAAAAGCTATAAACCAGTGTGAAATTATTAGCTTTGCTCATTTTTGTCCACCGAAGCGTTTCTTACAGATCGGTCTTACATAAATAGGTTTCTCTCCACTGTGAGCTGCACATGAATCCTAAGATTTTGAGAATGACCAAATTCTATCTTACACTTCTTAAAAATTTACTTGACAGCTTAAGTGTAAATCGCGTGTGACTTTACAAGTATTGTTACACCCAGAACAGGGAGAGTAAAAAGTTCATCTTAATCACTATGACAACCAAACATAGGCTTATTCAGTACGATGCGGAAATGAAATCTCTGATGATAACGTGGAGAATCGTTAAGTCATATGTTGTTGAATGTGCTGAGGAAATGGAAGAACAAAAAGTGTATTGTATAAACAGTAAATCTAGGCAGCGCTTCTACTAAAGATGTGCTGAATCAAGTGACACTGTAGCCTATCAGGATATGGGAGCATAACTTACATTGGTGCTTAATGCTTTCTTGGATCACGTAGATGAGCACATGAGTCCAATCTTCGTCTTCTGTTAAAAAAACAATCCGACATTTGACATACTGGAACTTTCTTATATGTATATTAGCAGGCGTTTTTCTTGCGCGGCAATATCGTCACAAGTCGATTAAAACTATTTACATTGCAAGGATTCACTTCTGGCGTGAAAACATTCCTTACACATGTAGGTGTGACCATTCTTGTGCTTGGCCGTAATGATCAGGTTGTGTACGAGATGTTTTCTTGAACAGACACAGCAAGCGTCAAAGAGATCAACTGGGTTCAGGTGGTGGAAGTTAACGTGCAGTTTGAATTCCTCTTCAGACACTAACGTCTGTTTACATACTATACAAGGTGCAGGAAGACTGTCACCACTGTGTTTTTGCATGTGATCTATAAATTCTTTTTCACTGTGGACATTTGTCTTACACGTGGCACACACGCTCCCTCTGGCCTCCGTACTGTGGATAAGTTTGTGTTCAGCCATTGTGACTGCCGATGAAAACACCTTATCGCAGACATTACATGTCTGTGTCTGCGCACTTATGGCGTGGATCTTCATGTGAGTCTCGAGTTCTGAGCGCGAGTTGAACGTTTTTTTACAATAAGTACAAAACAAGTTAATGGTTGCTTTTTCTGAACCAGCCGTTTTAAGGTGATGGATCTCCAGCTGGTGGTTGCTGAGCTTAGACTTAAGAAGAAAGGTTTCGTCACAAATATCACAACGAAAATTTCTTTGCTGCCCCCTGTTAGTCATAAGACTAGTGAAGTTTGTTTTGTTGTTGAAACCAGGTGAAGAGGAACTAGGTGGATGATCACTAGCGACTTTTTTCGAAGGCACAGAGTTTTTAGAGTGACAAATCTGCATGTGCTTATCCAATAGATATTCCACGAGGAAGGCGTCACCACACACGCTACACGGGTACTGTTTCTTGTGTGTGTTCATATGTTGTTCCAGTAGCTCCTCTGATGGAAAGCACTGGTTGCACAAAAGACAACATTGTGGTTGGAGCCGGAATAGGTGCGCCACCTTCACGTGGAACTGAAAGTCTAGCTCCGAGCAGAAGATGGCGCTACAGGAGGTGCACTTCAGTGAAACGATCTCGTGACTGTGCTGCATGGCAAAGTGAACCTGGATGCTCACTTTAGAATCAAACACCTTTTTACACTGTGAACACCGATATAGGCGGAGTGCATGAATTTGAAGCAAATGTTTTTGCAATTCATCTGGTTTTAAGAATAACTTCAAACAACACTGGCAATCGTACGTAATTTTTGTTGTGAGAAAATGATTGGTCATATGATTACCAAGTTGGTCTTCCGTGGAAAATTCGCTGTTACACTGATAACATTTATATGTCTCAGTTGCAAAATTTATATGAGACATCAAATGCAATTGGAATGCTTCAAAATCTAAGAATGCTGCATTACAATGATTGCATATTGATGGCGCAGAAGAGCTAAGGGGTACACTAATGTCATATAGCAGTTCTGGTGCAGGATTGAAGGTCTTGAACACGTTCACAGCGTTGTCTTCGGATGATTTTCTATTGGAAATTGGACTTTTGTGCATTGCGTTAAAATGTTTAGTTAGCTGGGCGTCATTGGAAAACTTCATGGAACACTGGTAACAGGAAATATTTTCCTCCTCTAAGATTTTTAGGCTACTTATACTGTGATCTATGATAGAGTGCTTCTGAAGTTCGTACAAACTGCTAAACTTTGAGGGGCAGTATTGACAGATGAAATTTCCATTGAAATTTTGTTGTTGATATTCTTTGAGGAAAGTCATAGGAAATAATGGAGGGAATGCCTTGAAATTCCCACTAGGAGGAACATGATTAAGGTTGGCGTGATGTTGAGGAGCTTTCAAAGATGAGAAATTACTACTTTCAAAGGCAAATCCACATTCTAGGTCAGACACTGGAAATTCATTTTCAGACCTCACACCAAAATTGTTCTTATCTCCATTCTTGTGGTTCTTTGACAAAACAAAACAAAAATTAATAATGAGAACATAAGATAAACTGTGGCATTTTCTTAAAATAAGTTGAATAAAACTTTATTTAAATGTATCTATGACTTTTTTGGTGAAAACATATTAAGAAGTTAACACATTTAATGAATTATTAACCAACGTATTCTTATTGGAGAGAGAGAGAACAGTAACATTAAGAAAATACAGTAATACTTCGAAACATAGTTTCTTCCTCAAGATAAAATAATAATACTACGAAACACGATGTCCTTTTAAAGGAAGAACAATAATATTACAAGACATGATTTTTCTTCCCTTGGAAAAACAACAATACTACGAAACCTGATGTTCTTTTCAAGGAAGACCGATAATACTACGAGACAAAATTTTATCATTAAGAAGAATAATAAGGTTACGAGACACAATAATATTAAGAGAAATAATTTCGTCCTCAGGATAAAACAGTGATATTGTTAGTTTGTTTTAGCACAAAGTTATACAAGTATCTGGTATTGTGCTAACCACAGGGACCCAAACCTAAATTATAGCGTTATAAGTCACAAGATTACCGCTAAGCCGCCGGAAAGGTCTAAAGTCTTTACTATTGTTATTGAAGATAAGAGGAAATTAATGCAGGTATATCTTTCCTTTACCATTTGTGTAGAAAGAAGAGAGAAATAATGCGAGAAAAATGTAATAATAATGTGAGACATGCTAAAGCACCATTAACACTGAGAGGCAAGGTTCATCTTCAAAGATATTACTATACAGAACAGCAATAACAATGTGAGAAACATTAAGAGATAAGTAGTATTGAGATACAAGCTACCTCTTTAAAATGTTACTTTGGAAAAGAACAACAACAAAGTTAGATACACAGATATTAATAACAATGAAATACCAACTACTTCTTCAAATATGTTATTCTAAAAAAAAAACAGCAGTAAAAATGTGAGATACACTGAGGTATCGATTACTCTGAGATACAAGTTATTCTTCAAAAGTGTTACACTAAAAATCAGTTTTACTAAAAACTAATAATAACGCGGGAAACACTAAGAGATCAGTAGTCTTGAGAGACAAAATAACTCTTTACAAATGTTAGCTTAGAAAAACAAGAGGGAATCCTCAATAAACGCGGTAATTGAAATTCTTTTAGGCAGGGTTAGAATAAATTAATGTATGGGACCTCCCCCCCTTTAATTAGCTATATTTGTGTGTGCCAGTAATACCAAGCGTGGGGCGCGTTTATACTCGAATCAATTTTAGTACTCATCAGAAGTTCTACCAGCCTACCCTCAAATTAAAATTCCAGAATTAGAGTAAATTAATGGGCGTGGTCAAATACATCAATCGAAAGGCTTTGACCTCCTGAGTCCAAAACTGTAGTGTAATTATATCTCAAATCGGACAAGAGATGCCGGAGCTATGAGCTATAAGTTTGTACTTGAAAAAAAACAAAAAACTCTGAGCCGTTATAAGAGCCGCTATGCCAAGGCTAAAAAAAATAAAGTGAGACCCACTAAGATATTAATAACAATGAGAGACAGGCTAATTCTTCAAAAATGTTTCATAAGAAACAATAATAACAATGTGAAACACATACAAAGAGAAAAATTACCTCTTTAAAAATGTCACTCTAGAAAACAACAAAAACAATATAAGACACACAAAAATATCAATAACTGTGTGAAACAAGATACTTTTTAAAAGTGGTACTATGTAAAACAACGATAACAATGTAAGACACTAAGATATCAATAACAATGTGAGACAAGCTACCTTTTAAAAATGGTACTATATAAAGTAACAATAACAATGAAAGACAAGCTACCTTTTAAAATTTTACTGTTTGTTTGTTTTTTTTTAATTATGCACAAAGCAATGCAATGCAATGCTCTGCCCACCACGGGTATCGAAACCAGGTTTCTAGCGTTGTAAGTCCGCAGACATACCGCTGTGCCACTGGGGGGCAAATGTTACTGTATAAAACAACAATAATAATGTAAAATACTAACAGACCAGTAACACTAAACGACGTTACTACCTCTTCAGATGTTACTATAGAGTTAAATAGAAAAAACAACGAGTAATAATGTAAAACATACTAAGAAGCCCCCAGTGGCACAGCGGTATGTCTGCGGACTTACAACGCTAGAAACCGGGTTTCGATACCCGTGGTGGGCAGAGCACAGATAGCCCATAGTGTAGCTTTGTGCTTAACTTCAAACAAACAAACACTAAGATATTAATAACATTAAATATTGGATACTTCTTCAAAAACTTGACAAGAAAACAGCTAGAACAATAATAACGATGTGAGATACATTAAGAGATCGGTAATACTAAGAGACAAAATTCCTACCGCTTCAAACATATTACTCTAGAAAACAATAATAACAATTATTGATAATACTGTGAGACAAGGTATCTCTTCAAACATGTTACTCTAGAAAACAACAATGACAATTATTGATAATACCGTGAGACAAGGTATCTCTTCAAACATGTTACTCTAGAAAACAACAATAACAATTATTGATAATACCGTGAGACAAGGTATCTCTTCAAACATGTTACTCTAGAAAATAATGTGAGATACACTGATATATTAATAACCTTAAGAGAGAGAAGGTACGTTACTTTCTCTTTAAGTGAAAGTTGTTACTGCCTGAGAAAATCTAACAAATTTGTTGTCACCGTAAGGCCCCTCAGTGGCACAGCGGTATGTCTGCGGACTTACAACTCTAGAAATAGGGTTTCGATACCTATGGTGGATAGAGCACACTTTGTGTAGCTTTGTGATTAACTGCAAACAAACAGTCACCGTGAGGATGTGCTAGAGAAATGAAGCAGATATAATATTATGCATACTAGCAGAGACCGGCAAAACATTTCCGGCCAAATTAGTATCTTTATTGAAACAGTACTTTTTAAATATAACATTTCTAGCAC